GGGGGGGAAAGGGGGGAGAGGGGAAAAAAAAAAAAACGGAGCGAGCTCCTAGCCTTACTGGAGGGGATCCAGCTGCTAAAAATAGCAAAATCACACTCGAAATTAAATAAGGGCAAACAGGCGAAGGGAGCTCCCAGCGCCGGCGGAGCGGGGGAGGCGGAGCCGGGGCCGCATCACGACGGGGGCGGCGCGGGGCGGCGCGGCCGGGAGCGATAGGGCCGTTCAAAGGGCTGCGGCGGCGGCTGCGCCCCCAGCCCTGCCCGGCAGAGGGTCTCCTGGGAGGCTGCAGGCAGCGCTGGGGGGGATTGAGCCACCCTCGTCCTCCCGCCCCGGGATGCTCCGGAAATCCTCCCGACTGGGGCCGTGCTGGGAGGGAGGGGGCGGCTGCCCCCGGCTGGGTGACCCCCCCCCCCGATGTGTGACCCCCCCATGGGAACAGCCGCGACTCTCCCCACTCCGTATTTTGGAATGGTGTGGGGGGTTTGATGTCCCCATGGGGGCAATCGCCGGCTGGGGCCGGGCCATGCGCCCATGGCCAAAGCACGAGGCTCCTTCTGTTTGCTGCTTGCTCACCAGGTCAGCCCCCACAAAAGCTTTCGGTCCCCATCTGGAGGCAGCAGCAGTGGGGGTTCCCTCCCCGGGACTCCCAGGGCCGCCTGGGTTATGTCGTGATATTAATTTAATGTATTGCTGCAGCACCGCTGCCGAAAGGGGAGGCTGGCGTGGGAGCAGGTTCTGCTCGGCACAGTGGGGTTTGGGGGGCTCTTGAGCGGCCCCGAGGCTCTCCTGGGCTTTAAGCAGATGCTGGGCTCAGTGAAGAGCTTTGTTCAGAATTCCTCTGGTCGGTTTGGAAGTGTTTTGGGTCAGTCTGGAACCAGCTGAGATCAGCTCATGGGTGAGGTACCCCAAAACCCAGGTCCCCGCTGTGTCAGGGCAGTGTTTCTAAGCTGTGGCGAGCATCTGGGGTCTTGTGGTGGTTTTTCTTGATGGGATACCAGAAAATCCAGAGCTCAGCATCCCGTTGTATGAAATTTCTGCAAACTCCTGTGAAAACAATCACAGATCTAATGGAAACTGATTTAGGTGCTTTTGACCATCCTGACTATAAGGGTTGAACTCTGAAGTGAGGATCTGAACTTCAGACTGCTGGATTTCAGTTTCAGGCAAGTTTTATTAAAAGAAAAAAAAAGGAGACCTTTATAAAGATGAAATGTAAAAGTATCAATATCTGCCTGGGCAAAACTACTCTGGCAGGGAAGGCTTGTGATGCAAAACAAACCAAACCCAGCCAGGCTTGGGGCACCTGTTTCTGCTAATTGTTATTCGGATTTTTCAAATCCCCTGCAAAGTCCCCTGCCTAAAACACAATCGGAGCAGTGTCCCTTTCTGACAATTAAAAAATGAAAGCAAAGAGGGGGGAGAACCCTCCTGGAAGAGAGTTCGTGTTCCCAAACAGCTGGAGGAAGGGCAGGCACACCCTGCTCGCACCCCGTGCAGCTCCTGATCCAAGCTCTGGTGGGTCTCCCCCATCCCAGGGCCTTGTGTGCAGCAAGGGGTTGTTTGCAGACCCCAAGTATCCTCTTTTTTTTTGGCTAAAATTAGTCTTTCCCCAACTGTAGGCAGCCCTGCCTGGGTTTGGATGTGCTGGGGTACCTTTTACCCCAACGCTGCTGCTCAGGCTTCCCCCTTTGCCGTGAGGCCAATGAGGAACTTGTTTTTTGTTCTGGCAGAGGCTCGTTGTTATTAATATCCCTCGTTATTTACTGTGCAGCGCCGGTGAATGGCAGCAGCCCGAGTCCTGCAAACGACCAGGGCTGCTCTGCTTTAATCCCTCCAAGTTTTGGCAGTTACCCACTCTCTGAGCCCACGCTGGAGCCTCCCCACACCGGGTTCACCCGTGGGGTGAGCACTTGGTCTTTAAAGAAAAACAGTGCTGCAGCGGTGCCCCGGAGCTAAGAGAGGTGGGGAGATGGCCTAGCAGCCAGGTACAGGCACACAGCCACGTGAAAGGAGGGGAAAACAGGGAAAAACTGGGCTGGAGCAGAGCCCAGGGCTGGGCCTAGGGTAAGAACATTTTCACTTTTGTTTCTGCTGTTGGGCTCCTGATTTGCAGCTCGTTGCCGAGTGGGTTTGGGAGCAGGACTGGACAAGCTCCCCCATCCTGCGCTTTCCGCAGGCGGAGAAGCTGAAAATGGCTGGAAACAGGGAAACAAATGATTTATTATCCCCCCCGCCCCATGGCAGCTGAGCCCAGCTCGGGGCACGGCGAAGCATGCACGGCTCGGAGCCGAGCAGCGCCGGGATCCCGGCGGCCGAACACGCTGGGAACCCCCCCGGGATGCGAGCGGGGATTGTCCCAGGCCGGGTGAGCACAGGGCTGGCCGGCCATGGCGTGGGAGGACAGGGACGTGGCCTTTGTTTCCCCTCCCGGCTTTGTTTCCCCGATGGCCCCATTGATGAAACCCCATGTGGCCAAACAGCCCAGGACCCACCCCAAAACAAGCCTGTTAATTTGATTAAATGGCTCCTTTCTCACCCCTGGAGCAGATTGAGCTCTCACCAGGGCAGCGTTTTCTTGCAGCCCCATTCTGGGGACAAATTCCTAAATCACTTGATAACTCACAGACTTAACTCCTCCGGTTTGAGCCCGAGCTTTGCGGGACCCAGCGCCGTGGGGTGCACGGGCTGCAAATGGGAGCTGCACACATGAATTATTTCGTATTTCGATTTATTTAGCCAATATTTCAGGCCCAGGAGGAGACCTGATGGGTGCCCAGTGCTTGGGAAATGCTGCGCCTCTGGAAAGTGACCTGAAAAAAAAAAGCTGCTTGAAATCACCCCCAGCTCCTTGGGCTCCTCAGAACCGCAGGTGTTGATCGGCTCTCCCGAAAAGCATCCGGGGGGACGTGAGGGAGCAGAAGGCGATCCTGAGTGGCACACACCTTATCCTGCCCTGCGTCCTGGCACTGCCAACGAGCCCCGCAAAGCTGCCTTTGGGATTTGGATGCCTAATTCCTGCTAATTTCCCTGGGAAAGGGGAAACTCGATCCTCTGAGTCAGCTCAGGTTGTTGGGCGATTGGAAGGGGCCACCTGGCTAATTACGAGCGTGTGTTTGTCACCTTCAGAGCCCTCGGGAATAGCAGTTAATAGAGCGTGGTGGGGGCTGGCTCCCCCGACTCCGGGAGCTGAGGATTCCGAGGGGAATTTGGTGGCCGTGGGAGGCAGGAGAAGGATTTGGAGGTGCTCCCTGCCCTGGGTGCTTGGGCTGCAGTAAGTACAGCCCCCGCACAGGGAAATAACTCCCTGTATCCTGCTGATCCTGAGACAGCACAGGCTGATCCATGGCGGCCGCAGGGCGAGCAGGATCAGCCGGTGGGGCTGGAAAGCTGCTCAAGCTCAGCCACCCCTCACCTGCACGTCCTGACCTGTGGGGACACGTCCCTGCCCGTCACCCCTACTCGGTGCCAGCAGGGTCTGGTTTAGTGCCACTCCTGTCCCCTGGGATGGAGAGGATGCATTTTGGGTGCTGGTTGGATGGGGATGTGCGAGGGGCCGTGTCTGGGGTGCTCTGGCTTGGGCACTCGATGCTGGAGCATCCCATGAGTTTTGGGGAGCTGCTCGGGCCCTTGGCGGGTGCCCTGAGCTCATCGGACACCGGCTGCGTCACCTCCTGGGCCTGGGGTGGCTGCTGGCTCTGGCAGGGAGCGGGATGCTCCGGGGCTGCAGCCATCGCTGCGCGGCTGCACAATGGCCTTTTGTCTGCGGGGCTGCCCCGGGAACATCCCGCCATCCCAGTTTCCCAGTAACATGAAACCTCCTCGGGGCTGCCTGCCGGGAGCACAAAGCCTGGGGCTGCTGCGGGGGGTAGCCCTGGCCCCGTTCCCGGCTTCCCCCCACACTTCGCACATGTGCTGGGGGCTCAGGTGGGTGGGGGGACGCTGCCAGCCCAGCTGGGGTCCCTCAGGGCAGGAAGGAGGTGGCAGGAATCGGGGAAGCAGCAGGAATGGAGCCGAGCCCGCAGAACCTCCATGCGAGGATGCGGCCGATCCATGCTGGAAGTGGCGGCAGCTCCCTCACCTCTGGTGTCCCCACGCAGGGAATGTGCCGGGGGGTGGGTGAGAAAATCCCTGCGGGTGCTCCTCGGAGTCCCTTCCCCTCTGCCCTGGCCTGGGGGTGCCGAGGAGGAGGGAGGGGACAGGCCGGGGAGGAGCCGCTGTAAATCATTAACGGGACGCGGTGGAGGGGAATGCGAGGGGTCATTTTAATCGAGGGCTCTCTGGCGGGCTCACAGTGGGGTCTGGCCGCCTGGTATTTTTTTAATCAAGATATTTTATTGCACATCACATGTGAACAGGGCAGAGAAGGAGGTGGTGGCTGCCGGCAGCATCCAAGGAGGGGTGGGGGATGCACTGCAAGGGGAGCTGGAGGACACGCGGTGCAAAGGACAGGGCAAGTTTTTCCTGCTTTTCCCAGCCTTTCCTAGCTCCTCCATGCCCTGGAATCTCTCTGTATGATAGGGAAGGAACCCCCCACTCCCGGGCCAGTTGCCAGTTCACTGTGCCAAAGGGGACACACCAGAGAGACTGCTCCTAACCGGGGCTCCAAGAAAACACTTTTCCCAGCCAAATTCCTTGACACTTTCCCGTTTACTCAGCTCCGGCTGGAAAAGCATCGAGGACCGGGGGACTTGTCTCCATTCCGGTGACTCAGGTGGCGGTCACCGGGGTGACTCAGCCGCCGGCAGAGTCCCGGCTCCGGGGGCACAGCGGGGCCCGGGGTGACACAGAGGCAGGGGAAGGGAAACGGGAGGCGATGCCGGAGATGATGGGACGGGGAATGGGGCCAAACTGACTGCTGGTGAAAGGGAGCGGGAGCCGGAACAACCCTGCTCGTGCCCCCTCCATGGCCTGGGGGTTTGACCAAAGGCCTTTGGGAGGAGATGGGTCGGGGCGGGCAGAGGGTCACCTAATGGCCAGTGAATGACCCGAGGCGGCAGGGCAGGGCGGGATGGAGCATCCTGGGATGGAAGCGGCAGGTTTTCCTGCGGGGAACGTGCTCCCACGTAGCCAGAATCACAGAATTATGGAATAATTTGCGCTGGAAAAGCCAACGCTGCGGTTTCCTGCTGCCACCTAATGGGGAGAGGCTCCGACTGTGGAGCGGGAG